AATAGCGTGGTGAGTTGGTCCATCAGTCAGTGGCCGCCGTGCTTGTAGACTTCGGCTGAGACTGCGTTGGGGCCTGGTCATTTTCTACCGGAGGGTTGTTGCACGGTGCAAACGGTTTCTGGGAGGAGGGGGAGAGATAAATGTCGACGTTGATTTCTACTTGGGGAAGCCAATCGATGGTGGCGTCCCAGATTGCGGGGGGGGACGGTTAAGGACGTTTCTGAAGTATTCGGCTCAGTTTTTTTCGGAATCTGCGATTTCTCCGTCAAAAACGTTTATCCATCGGAGCTGAGAAGCGGTGCAGTTCCTTTAGTCGGGGGACCGCAGGTCGTGTTGATTGCAATGAATGAAATCTTTGAGTCGTGGTCGGCGTACGCCTGAATCTCTTTGGCCTTGAGAGCCATCCCGGCGTTCTGAATTTCTGGCAACCGTTGCCGCGTTAGACCGCGACATTGGTAGAATGCCACTTTGATCGTATCGGTCGGGCAGTCGAGATAGGTTCCGTGCAGCTTGTTCTTTTCGGCCAGCAGTTTACTGATGACACCGTCGAGTGAGATCCTAACCACAACAGTGGGGGCCATACGCATACTTGGCATGCTTATGTACCTCGCTTCATAAGGCCTATAACGTACTGATGATAGGTAACGACCGTGAAACAGCTGTCTGTATCTGGTCTGTCGCACTCTTAACAAAGCAGTATTCAGCATACCCGAGAGTCGCTTAACTTGTGGCCTCCTGCAAGCTTGCAAACAGAGCTTCATCCTGGAGATGACGGAGCGGTGGTCCGTCCAGCCATCGGAGTCACAGACCGCCTTGGTTATCATCAAGCCCTGTCGACCTCGCCGCCGGACGAAAACATACTCCAGTGGCTGCCGGCATCGTAATGGGGTTTGCATCCAGGTGGCCTTCCGCATCAGCAAGTGAAAGAACGTGTTGGTCAGCAGGAGGCGGTGTTCAGCGCAGGTCCTCAGGAGAAGGAGACCATTGTCGTTTTAGCCGGCAATTCCGTGAGGATAAATCACTCCTATCCAGGCAGCATAGTCTGTCCCGACACGGGAATTGAAGTCACCAGGGACAATCAGTTTGGTGGGACAAGTGCTTTATTAGCTTGACCTTTGGGATTCGAGTGAGAATCCCAAACGTCAGACTAATAAAGCACTTGTTCCAGCGATCGTTTCTCCTTCGCGACTACTTCCTGGAACTCGCCTCTTCGCTTCTATTAACAACCAGTTTGTCCGCCTTCGGCCAAGACGTCGGGAGGGCGTGCAGATCTTCGTAGAACTTTGCCTTCGCCTCGTCTGAGCCGGTCATTGTTGGGGCGTAGGCACTGACGATGGCGACGAATTTGCCTCCCCAGAGAGGCAGACGGAGGCTCATCAGGCGATCGTTGATGCCCTTGGACAGACAGGGCATTCGTCCCACGATGTCGTTCGGATGGCAAAGGCGACTCCCGCGTCACGTCTCTCTGTCTTGGTGTAACCGCTCCAAAAAAAGCTGTAGCCAGCACTCACCACCTCTAGTTGGCTTTGTTAGGAGAAACAGGTCTCACTGAGTGCGGCGATGTCCACCTTGTAGCGCGCCAGTTCCCGAACGACTAGCGGCGTCCGTTCCGGCTGGTTACTCCTAGGATTATCTAAAAGGGAACGAACATTCCAGGTCGTCAGAGCGAACGGACTCGCCTCGGTTGCCTGTGGATTGTGGCGGCGGAGAGGATGAGGAAGAGAGGGAGTACTTTGTCTTGTGTATTGGTTTCGACCGCATGTAAAGCGGTCTGCGAGCTACGGCCTGCGTGCAGAGGATGTGATCCCAGCATTTGTTTAGAGCACCGTTTGCAGTATTTTCCCCCTCGGAGGGAAAGCAGTGCTCTTGCCAAACGGGGCTGCTTTGTCGCACCAGATAGATATCGCTCTCCGCCATGGGTAACGAGCTTTAATGAGAGAACGACCAATGGCCTGGGCCGCCTACGTGATTGCATGCCGCTCTAGCCGTAAAACTTCCGACCGTGGGATGAGAGGGCAGAGGCAGTGAAGGGCGGAGGAGAAGTGCGGAGAGAAGGTACGTGTTATATATGCAAAGCAGGTTAGTTGGAAATAGGACGTGTACTGAGTACCAGAGAGTACAAGTGAGGAGGCTTGTGGAGACGGCTGGGTATATGGCAGGGGGGACTGTCATAGGCTGATGGGTGGCCAATTAGCACAGAGGTGTGAACGGGGGTACATGACCTTGATCATTCGCTTGTCACGCGCATGTGGCATGATGTCCTGACAGCCCGGGCGGTATACGCTGCAGTATGAAGAAGTAAAAATAGGCAAAATCACCGTGTGTGGATGTGAGCACCCAGATACCTTTACACATATATATGACATGCACACTTATGATAGATGGCCGTATCGTACTCCCGACATGGGTACTAGCCAAAATCCCAGACACGTGTTTCGCCGACATGGTATGCATTCCGAGCCAAAATTTCTAAAAAACAAGACGTACTTTGAAAAGGAATCGTGTTGTGCCTTTGAATTTTCCACCACCAATTCTGCAAGATCAAGAGCTGGCATCTTTAGTATGTCAAAATCCACCGGTGCAGTTACCGATGAAAATAAGGATCCTGCAGGTGAACCAACATTTCACTTACGGCTATAGATAGCTGCTTCATTTTTTTACTGGAGTAGATTCATTGGCGAAATGTTCCCCAATACAAGTGTCGTCAGAATGGCGCTTCGACTAATGTTTAGTTAGAGTCCACGACGGATGGAAACAGTGGTGTATCTGGTCAAAGGATCTGGAGACTTGCTCGTCAATTTTATCGTTGATCCGGATGCTTTTTGAATCTTACTTCTTATTCACACGAATTCACTCGTCCCACAATATGCACAAGACTGCCTCTACTGGAATATACTAAGTCAATATTTCATAATCTCAGACTAGGAAGGAACTATCGGAACGTGACTCAATACGAAAGAACCGAGTAGTCCTGCCAGTCGTCAACCTTCTAGCCATTACACGCGCCGTAACACGTCGTAATGTTTTAGTTCAAGGTATGGCGCTGGTCTGGAGATGTCTCGTCCATTGACTCCGCTGGGACCAACCACCAGAGTGGATGGCACTTTCATTGATGGTGTTCCACAAGCGCCTCCTACAAAAGATCTGGTAATATGGAATCCCAGTAGAAAACGATGGCCCACCGCGTTCGGTACTAGGACTTTTCCTCTTCTCCATTTACATAAGCAACCGCCTTGAGGATTTTGACTGTTGGTAGGCTGACTGTCTGATTTATTGGCAAAAATGATCCTACTAGGGCTAGAAAAGATCGTGTTCATCCAGCGAGGGCTGATCTTTTGGCACCATTGCATTGACTACACGTTTGTTATCGTCAGGACGGACATAACGCAAAATTCGCATAATCTGTCCAGCTCAATCTTCCTAGATGAACAATTCACGACGGAAGAAAGGGGCAGCAACTGCTCTTTCTTGATGTGCTCGTCAGGCGAACTCCCAACCCGGACCTTTTACACCTTTTACGGCGAAAGGCAGATCGTAAACCGTGGACGTAGATAGCTGCTTTCGGGCCTTCATGCGCCTGCTGTTGAAAAGATGCCAGTCAGTTCTGTAGGCGATGCGTATCCCGGGGTGCTCATCACGGTAGGCGTCCATCAACATGGCAGAAAACATGAGACTGAAGCTGATAGGTGCGAGGACGTGAGAATGTCTCGGTGGTTACACCGTTGTCCGTCACGTGCGCTATAATCCGGCCGTGGAGCTGACGTATCATGTACGTGAATCACTCGGGGCAGCCGAGCTTCCGCATGATGCTCCACAGTCCTTCACGATTCACTGTATTTAAGTCCTTCGTTAAGTCCATGAAGGTAGTGTATAGGTTGGTTCGCATCTAATGGCATTTCACTTAAAGCTGGCGAGCAACAAACAGGATGTCAGTTGTGCCCCGGTGTCGTCGGAAACCACACTGGCTTTCCGGCAGGAGTCCTTGCTCGAGGAGTCCGTTGAGGCACTTGAAGAGGATGCGAACGAAGATCTTCCTGGCGATACTGAGTAGTGAGACGCCCCCGTGATTATCGCAGACTTGTCGGTTGCCTTTGCGCTTGTAGAGATGGACAATGGTTGCATCCTTGAAGTCGTGAGGAACTTGTCCACAGCGCCACATCTGAAATAGCGTGGTGAGTTGGTCCATCAGTCAGTGGCCGCCGTGCTTGTAGATTTTGGCTGGGATTGCGTCGGAGTCTGATACTTTGCCACTGGAGAGTTCTTGTGTGGTACGAATGGTTTCTGGAAAAGAGGGCGGGAGGTCCAGGTCGACGTTGATTTCCACTTGAGAGAGTCGGTCGATGGCGGCGTCGGAAATTGTGGAAGGGTGGTTGATGACGCTCCCGAAGTGTCTGGCCAGCGCTTCTGAATCTGCGACCTCGCCGTCAAATGAGTCGATCTATCGGAGCTGAGAAACGGCGCAGTTCCTTCGGTCGGGGGACCGTAGATCGTCTTGATTGAAGCGAAGAAATTCTTCCAGTTGTGATGGTCGACGTATGCCTGGATCTCCTCTGTCTTGCGAACCACCCAGGAGTCCTGCAATTTTCGCAGCCGTTCATTCGCTAAACGGCGACATTAGTAGAAGGTCGTTTTGTTCGTACCCGTTGGGCAGTTGAGGTAGGCTCCGTGCGGTCTGTTCTTCTCGGCCAGCAGGTTACCGATGTTGGGTCATTTTTTCAAATGAGTCCTAATGCTGGCAACATGCGCGGCCGAGTAGAGCCAGGGCAGTTGAGTGAACGGCATACCGTAGTTGTCACCATCGAGTCTGAACGGAGGCGTTTTCATTCGCTGCTGGCAGGTCTTTTAGCCGCTGGATCATTTGATTGCTGAAATGCAAACGGTGAGCAGGAAAAAACAACAAAGTGGTGTTCAGCTTAGCCGGGGGTCGCTTACCTTGTGGCCTTCTGTTAGATTGCAGACATAACTTCATTAAGGAGACGACGAGGCAGTGGTCCGTCCAATCATCGGCGTCTGAGATCGCCTGTTGATGCCGCCGCTGAGCGAGAACATAGTCCATCATCTGCCGGCGCCGCGATAGCGGGGTGTATCCAGGTGGCCTTCCGCATTGGCAGGCGAAGGGATGTGTTGGTGAGCTGGACACGGTGTTCAGCGCAGGTCTGCAGGAGAAGAAGGTCGTTGTCGTTGCAACCGGTGATTCCATGTGGGTTCAGCACTCCTATCCAGACAGAATGGTCTGTGCCGACGTGGACGTTGAATTCACCGAGGACAATCAACTTATCCGCCTTCGGTACAGACGCCAGGAGAGTCTGCATGTCTTCGTAGAAGTTTGTCTCCGCCTCTTTAGAGCCGGTCATTGTTCGGATGTAGGCGCTGATGATGGTGGCTAATTTACCTCCCCGGAGAGGCAAGCGGAGGCTCATCAGGCGACTGTTGATGCCCTGCGGCAGGAGGAGGAGGAGGAGGAGGAGGAGTAGGAGGAGGAGAAGGAGGAGGAGGAGGAGGAGGAGGAGGAAGGGAGAGTATTTTGTCTTGTGTTTTGATTTCGGCCGCATGTTAAGCAGTCTGCGAGCTACGGTCTGCACGCAGGTGCTGTGAACCCCGCTTTTTTTAGGGTTCCTTTTGTAATCCCCCGCCTTTGCGGGGGAAGGCAGTGTTCTCCCTAAATAGGGCTGCCTTGTCACACCAGACGGATACCACTCTCAACTATGAGTCACGCGCTTGAGTTAGAGAACGACCAATGGCCTGGGTCGCCTACTTGACTGCTGTTGGTTTCGCTGTAGGACTTCCGGCGGTGGGGTACAACAGAAGAGTAGAGCGGAGAGTAGAGACAGTCGAGTGCGGAAGAAGAGTGCGGAGGGAAGTGACGAAACGGTAAAGTAGGGCCGATTTACCTTGTGCGGGAATGCACATACGGATACCCTCATCTAGTTTAGCCCGCCGGTCGAGGCGGTTAGCGGGGTGTGGCCGCTCGACAGAGCCTAGCTTTGGAGAGCCACATATGAGAGCTGGGTGCCAGTGAATGGACGCCATGCGTAGTCAACACCTGCACGCAAGTGAGCGACCTACCACGACCTTCACGTGAACCCAAAACTGTACACCCCTACGTCCCATAGTCTTGGTAAGGAACTAAGAACTAAACCGCTAGCTTCTTTTTAACGCTGAAATTGATTCCTAGCCCCTAACTAGTAATTATTACGCCCGATAAGTTAATGAAAATTTAATGAGAATGCATCCGCCTCTGTCCTGTGAAGTCTATCATTTCTGGCTGCCAAACGCGTCTTCTTTCGACTTTCAGAGGCCTTTAAGACATACCTAAGGCAGTCCCCTTTAAAAAAGATCGATGTGAATCCTGGGTGTCGGGAAACACGATAGTCAATTGCTGTTTTGGATTCTATCGATTTCTACCTTTCTCACTACAACTTCTCTAATATGCGACCATCACTCGTTGCAAATCGACGAAAGCTACGAGCAGGAGTGCTCGCGTCTTGCTTGCTCTTCGCGCGGAATTCGCACATGTGGTTCCCATTTGCATATTAGACAGAACCTCCGAAAGCTAGTACGAGTTGTGCTCTACACGAAAGTGCGCTCAATCGCTAGGATCCATTGCGCCCACGAAAGCAGAAATGTACGTGTGCTGACGCCTTGGTAAAATTCTGTATTGCAGTACCCTGGAGCCGTAATTCTGCCATTAAGGGGGCGATCAACGGCTGTGTATTTATGAGATTTCCTTCTGCGACTGGATGCGCGTAGCCTTCCTGTAGTCTTTCCTCTTCGGTCTTCTCCTCACCTTGACGCATTTTCCACTACCGTAACTTTCACCGCGACTAGAGCAGTGTCATCTGCCCAGAGCGCAAGTAGGCACTTTGAATATACTCTCGATTAATTTAAAAAAATCTTCTCTCAAAAGTCCTCTCTTTAAAAGGTGCTTTACGGAGGTACTTGACAAATGAATGTCCACGGCTCCCGCTAGGACCTCGTAGCACGGGTGGCAAGAACGTTGGCTGTACTCAAGCCTTCCCCCTGCTCTCGTTGCCTTGAATTCCATCGATGCCGCGGGCATTTTTAAAGTTCGATCAAAATAAGTTATCACCCACCATTATTTCTTGAATGAAATCGACGCCCTTTCTGCCGCAAATCAAAACGATTCCCATTTCGTTTTAATTCGGGAACCGATTTCCTTATTTTCGCTTAATTATGAGCCATGTCTGAATATGAATGCGCTACAGAATGGTCATATGAATGTCAAAATACTTCTGGTATGGTTAACGCGGTGTTTGCGGCTTTTCTAGCAACCATATTAGCTGCAAATAAACCACAAAAAGCACCTTACTGTGTGTTCGAAGTGTAAATGGTCATTTGGTGCGAGACCTTTCCGCAGTTACTTTGAGAAAATGTGCACATGGCTAGAGAATCCTAGTGTGGTAGAGCAGAAAGGACCGCCTAGTGACATCATTACTGTGTTTTCGGGCACCAAATGGATCCGATTTACAGGTTCCAACTTTTGAATAATATTGGACGTTTGTCTTTTCTGGAAGTTAAGTGCTGTCTACAGCATGCCTTACCTGATATACGCGAACGAAAAAACAAATGCTTGAGTTGACTGAGGCTTATTTTGGTAAGTTGTGCTTGTGTGGGACAATATTCTCTACTAGAAAAACGCGCGGATATGCAGATGTGGTAGCGATTAGCATTAGAAAGCCCCCGGATCGAGAGAACGATGAATGCTTGCTCAAAGTGTGTGCTGTTTGCCAAAATTTCTTGAACACTTGTTGTGCGTGTGGAGGACGTTTTTGTCTGACATATAAAGCAAGTAGGTGAACTACACAAAAACCGAGGTTATCCATTTTAACTGTCTGGATTTTAACCATCAGTGGCGGTTCATCTGAAGCCTTTCGAGATGCTCGATTTCGGCATCTTCGCCCTTGTTTCTGCATCTCCCAGACACAAGTGTTGGCTCCTCCGAGTTGAGAGCTGACATATTTGGTGACATCTCCAGAAATTCAATCGGCATCCTAAGCTTTTCAACTGGAAATCTTGGTGGAACGTCCGGCTCAGCTAATGTAAAAAGAGCTGACGTTGAAGTCGGCATCGGCCTCAACTTGAGGGATTTTGTTGGTCGTTTTTACGAAGTTTCAAAACAAATATTTAGACATGTACTTAGATTGCCGTGCTCGGCGCTCGAGAATCTACAGTTTTTCCGAGAACACTCTTGTTCCGTCTAAGTTGACCAGTCACGAGACCCTTTTGCTTTTCTACACAACACGTTTCTAACTTCCACGGTCTCCTGACTCCGCCGTGTATTCTGAATTTCTGCGCGGTTTCTGGGTGCGATCTATCAGTGTGGGCTTGTTTATGCAGACACTGTTACTCTCAGAAGCTAGATCATTCTGCGAGAACAGAAGCTCGATGTTGCAGTCGTACCTCTTGCACTAGCCACGGTTTTGCGTTGATTGTGCCTATCAACAAGTTCCAGATTCTCTCAATATCGCATTCTTGAGGGTAAATATGCTCTGAGCCTATGTTCATCCAAGAAACCACGTTGCGCCTCATTTCGACTCCATCAGGCGCTGCACTGCTGTGCATTATTGGCGCGTGATTTGGTTTAAAGTCCTATCATCCTGACTGGTAAGTGGTGGTCAGTCGCAAATCGCTTGTGTCTCCAGCTGCTCCTCAGGCTATTTTTTACTTACTGACACGGTCTACCACGTCATGTTGTAAATAATCAGTGGACTGCACAGTTGCTCTCCGTTGCTCATGCCAGGTAGTAGGGTTGTTTTAGGTAACACTTTTCTATGGTTAACAACCCCTCACACATTTCGGTCGTTCTCTTTCGTTAGATTCAGGTTTGTGACAAGCCCGGATCTTTTTTCAAGGCGGCGACGGGAGAACAGCCTACATCTCTGTCTGCAGGAACTTAAGGGTGTTCCAGAGGACGAACAGTAAGTTCCATGTCCTGTTAAGCCGTATATTTTCCTTTAGTACATGCTTTTTGCAAATGCCACCTCCGTTAGATTTTCGCTTTTATTTGAGTGGTCCTTGGAGCGCTTCAAAGTTCGCAGTTGTCTGATGAGTTCCGTTAGATTTTGAGCTGTGTGTTAGTAGTGAGGCCAGTTTGTTTCAGTATCATTGTTGTTCTTGCGCGTACGATCATCGTCGTGCTGATAGGTGTCTGGGGGAGTGTTGATGACGAAGGCATACACGCACTCAGGTATCGCATGTGCCCCATCGAATACTTCATGTTTTAGGCAAAATGGCATAACCGACACAGACAAGCGTGACTGGAATGGCCATTCTGGAACATCTGGGGCTCGATCCCGCGACCTGTTAGTTAGAAGTCCAGCGCCTATAACCACTGAGCCAAGGGCTCGTTTTCTTGTCGGATGTGATTGGGGACGCTCACCGATCGTGTTACGGAACTCACTCGTCTAGGTGTGTCTTGGAACTGTCGGGCCCAACAGCCGATCACAACCGACAAAACAACGGGCCCGTGGCTTAGTGGTTAGAGACGCTGGACTTCTAACCAACAAGTCGCGGACCAAGTCCCAGGTGTTTCACACTTCGGGGTTGGGTATGACTGATTGACGACGGCCAATAAGCCAGAAATGGCCCTTCCAGTTTCCCTTGTCCCTGTTGGTAATCTTATTCTGCCCATATCATGCGCCCCTGTGCGGCTGCTGGTTAGGCTCGAGAGAGAGCCCGTAAGGCACAACGGGACGAGTGAGTTCCGTAGAAACGATCGGTGAGCGTCCCTCTACCACTCCATATTTTGTCAGCAGATATCACCGGGCTAAGCGACCCATTGTGGGCAGTTTCTTTCTTTAGTCAGCTCGTGTTGATAAAAGTCGCGTATCCTAGAAATTAGGCGTATTCTAGCTAGACTGGCGGACCTCGGTCAGTCCTACTTACCTTCGTATAAGCGGTGCTACACGCGTGTATTTTCCATTCAAAACACGCACACCAATTCAATGCGCCCCGATTCAGCATTTCAGGTGCCAATGCGGCCGACGTTCTGTTTTCGCGTTATAGATGTGGCCGCCGTTTTAGGTGGTGTGAGCTTCACAACTCTAAGGCAACTTCCGTAATCCGACGCAAATTTTTATTCTTTAGATTATAACAGAGACTTTATGCAATGGATATGGCGTGCGCCTTCTTAGTTTAGCAATTGGTCGTCATCACAGTTCACCAAGTATCTTTGTATACTATCAAAACATTTCGATCCACTTTAAACCAAAGCAACTGATCATAATGTAGTATAACACTTCAAATAAAGGCAACGTTTGCAGTGCAGATGCGCTCGTCCGTTGCCCAAAGCCGTTATTGTTATGTTATTTGACTATGACAGATAGTTAATTGCGTTGATTTACAAAAGGTCAAACGAAGGAACTAGCATTTTAAAAACCATTTTTGCTATCAGCGAAAGCGCATATTGATGGATTCGTTGCCCCATGTAATTAGTCCCTTTCACTCTTTCCACGACTAAATTAAATTTTAGTGTAAGTTTGCTTACCTCGGACGTATTTTGGCACGATCGGTCCAAGGGACCGTCCAAAGCTTTTTAAATTATTGGTCTGGTTTATTTCGACTCAGCATGTTGCATTTCAAACTTTTTTTGCTCTCGAAGGTACTTTTGTGAAATCTACCTGGACAATGTGCTTTACGCGCGGACCACAGTGAAAACCATGAAGGACATGCTTGTCTGGGGAGAGGAGTTCGATTTCAGGTACGCGTCCGTCCAAATAGACTTGTCGGGACAGGACTTATAGCCATCAAAAAATTAGCCATGTTTGCTACGAAGTGGTTTGGTTTATTCGGGATGTCTAGCATTTCACATTAATTAAGGCTACTAGCTAGAGTTGAGTAGGTAATTAATTTGGTTTGATTTGGTGTCCGGTTCAGGAGAGTTTGCCATGATGGTAACTTTCTAACTCAAGCAGGGCTTTGGCAGTACCGTTTAACGCCTGTTGTGGAAACGAATTGCAGTTTTCAGAGCAGCCTTCACTGCAAAGATTCTTGACCTCCATCAGAATGGTAGAAATTGTCGGCAAGTGAATTTTATTGTTGCTGCCTAAACATCAGGTTATTTTAGGGAAGAGCAACTTAAACGCTTGCTGTCTCACAGCCCTTTCAGGGGCTGAGTCGTGCTCAGATGCACCCAGTTGTTCGGCTGGGCAAACTAACGGCTTCGGCGCATCTAGGTGTTTGCTGAGTTTTCGCGCGAATACCATTGACACTGAATGGGATTGTAGATTCCACCGAACTTTGGACTATTTGCTTGAATTGTTCGGTTGTTACATATAAGTGTCGCTTTTGAACTTACGTCTTAATTTGGCTCCACTTCAACACTCTTATCTGGTCTAACTGCGTGCTTTATGTATTACAGTCAATGTAACCTCAAGGCAATTAACATGCCTCATGAAGTCTTAGGACGACTGACAAGCTGACTTCGAATTGATGCTAACTAGGCAGTCCAGTAAAAAGTCGACTGCTTATGACTTCAATGGGACATCCCCAAACATAAAGACTGTTTGTCATGAATAGTTTGCATGGAATGCCGGACTTTCTTATGTCCCTCGGTTACGCCTCTCTCATTCTTCCACCATCATCTTTGTTGGTCTTTAGCTTACTTCCAGATATCACAGACGTGAATATCCTCCTTTGGCTTGTGAAGGCTGCCACCACTGCGGAGGAAGAATGCGCGGTCGTTTCTTTCAGCGAACGCAGTCTCCGACGCGCCAGTCTGACTCGGACAGGTGATTTAGAGAGGGCCAACCACCGCTTTCAGTCTCAACAATTCGAGCTGGACACACATCGTATCTCTATCACACAGGCGGACTCCTGGGCCTCGGTCCTGATGGACACCTCATGCTCCTCTCTGGATGCAATGCAACAGTCTGCCTCCAAAAGCCAGTCAAAACAGAACGACACCTCCCTGGTGTCATCCTCCTCCGGAGATTCCCGACACAGACGGAAGGGGCGCTTTGGTGCCAGTCGAAGCAAAAAGAAACTCACTCGTTTCTGCTTAATCGGTAAGCGTCTGGGTCCCTAACTCGCTCCGCTTTGGTTCCATGTTTTCAACAAATCGCAGTCTACTCAGGGTAGTCAAAGAAGTCATTGATATACTCATGAACTCTAAATTGCTGTTACCGAAACTCTGGACAAAATGCCGGTCTGATCATTTCCAATGAGCCGAAGACAACGCTGGCAAGAGCTATGAGAACAATTAAGCAACTGGATGGAAAATGGGTCATAAATCGAACAAAAAGACCGTCGACTGAAGGTTGGCGGTTATTGTCGACTCGCTATTTACCTCGATCCATTCGGTCTTCAACCTCCAAAATTCAGAAGGTTACTTTAGTCACAGATCATTGCTTAGCCTGTTATTTTAAGATATGCCATTTTAATAGGCTTTTTGGTACAGTAAACTAAAACTCTTTGGGCGACTACAACATTAACTCTCATTGGATGATAGAGATCGTAAGTACGAAATAGGAGGGGATGAAAATATTGGATGCGAGGTATAAGGTGGTAACGACCACAGGGACGCACGCGACGACTAGTACTGGCTGAGGTTGGAGTTGGGTCAGTAGGCGGATGCGCCTGACGTTAACGGAGGAGGTGAAATTGTGGGAAGCACCATGGAGGGCGTAGAAGGCTGGCTTGCTGGAGATGGAGAAGGGGAGCTGCTATGACTCATCTTACATTGAACGCGCTTCAATGTGACCGCTAAAGGGATTCGCAAAAGGCTTGGCAGTATCAACAGAGTGCTGAACGATCCCTCACAGTATTATTATGGTGGCTTGCGAACGCCAAGGGCGCGGACTAGCACAAGGAGTTAGAGTTAATATATGACTTACTTGCTGAATTGCGTGGAGTGATGACTCCAAGAACGGCCATTGTTTGGTTCCGGACATACCTAATGGCATCCGCATAACCTAAGTCGTAGAGCGATCCAGAACATTTTCCAGGAATCCGTAGGATAATGTCACAGATGAGATCGTCGACGAAGCCCACCAGAGCAGGGTTGGCAGCGGTATGGGGTAGATGCCATCTCCAAGTATTGGGATCACCAGTGGCCCAGAGGGAGGTTGAGGGTTGGCGATGGAAACGTTGGAGGGATTTGTTGGATGAGCGATGGTATATTGTCTTGATCATACGGGAACAGCCGAAGAGGCAAGTATGGTTATGGAAAAGTCTTGATTCGAATTTTTGATTCGGTCTCTAAGGGCAGTTAAGTGATATCCAATGCTCCAGAAATACGCGAGAACCAGTATCTGCCGTTGGCCATCGCACAAAACATTTAGTCTCATTGAGCATACAACTGCTACCAGGGGATGTTGGTAAAGGGCCTACAAGGTAAGTACGGATGTGTGTAAAACATTCGGCTCGGGAAAGGCAATCAGCAACCTGATTAGGATCACCTTTAGGAAGGCGAATATTGGTGATGAATTAATGCCCAGCTCCATTATATGGCTTAATGTATCTTTTGCAATGGCTCACTTATCTGCAAGTAAATAATAAGGACGACCAAAATGACGAACCGTTTCACGAGCTGGCCGAACGGTGATAGCCCGTTGATTGGCGGACTTTCGAAAGCAAATGGTAATAGAAAATGTGCGAAAAGAATGTGTGCAAAAGAATACCTTAAACCTAGGTCTGAAACTAGGAATGGTTGACTGCACCTATTAGTGGACGTACTATTAACTAGTTGGAGAGAAAACGAAACCCTGGGCGACTTACGGTTAGATGGAAATAGCAAAATTAGACTGATTGCAGAGCCAGTGTCAATAAGGAACTTGTAACAGATATTCCTGTCGAAGTTATGAAAAAAGTGCGTTGGGGACGTTCGGTCGACCGGGTTCATCACTGTTACTGATCGGTAGGCGTAGATTCTGTTGAAGGAGTCCTGTAAATACATGGAGACGGTTATTGATGGACGTTGGAACCATAGGTATGGCGGTTTCACTAGAAACCGCCAGGAGTGTGTGAACCTGAAATTGCAGCGGGAGATCTTGGACGGCGCGTACTTGAAGGACTTCCCCACCGAGAACCGCAGGTTCAGAAAAAAGGCTTAAGCAGTGTAGCATCTAAGTTTTGTTCGCCTTCCAGTTACTCAAGACGCCCAAAAAGCTACCTAAGCTTCTTGTCCCCAAGATCTCCCCTGGCAATAAAAACGCTGCGAAGGTTTTTCGATTAGTAGGACGGTGCAAGTGATGAGGGCTGCCTCTGGAGTTGTATGTGGACATCTGCTGGTGGGCTGCCAATAATGGTGATGTCCATTGGCAGTGTGACCACAGCATTATGGAATGTCGTTTCCTTCCAAATGATCCGCCGCAAGGCCAAACTAGATTCTATTCTGAGCAGCGAAAGTGCCCATTTTACTGACCCACGCAGTTGGAAGATCGGAAATAGGTCGACTAGTAGCTTCACTGTTTGTGACTACGTGATGTCGATCCGAGGTCAGCCAGTTATGTCAGGTAACTGGGGCGTTGTCACTGTGGCTTGCGAGCGGCCCTGCTATTGGTAGGATAGGGGTTAGGGCAACGTAGGCGACAAATTAGACTTGGTCAAAAGAAATACGAGCAATGGAGGGTAGGCGGGATTAAATCTAAGCGAACGTGGTCAAGTCTATAGGGAAAAAAGACAGGCGCAGTGAACAGGATTAAATCGTCATTGTAGAATATGCGCTGGCCTACCCTCCAATGAAAGGTTCAATATTCCGAAATCATTTACGGCAGCGGTATATGAAAGGATGCATGAGTTGCGACTTGATGGCATGTGTGGAGTTTTGTTGTTCTTTGTTGTGTTATTTTAACTGGCATCGTTAGTACACTAAAGCAAAAAATTTTCACCGACAAACCACCGATTGCTTTTCTTCTACCTTACTTTCGTATCTATTTCATCTTGAAGTCCATGGAATAGGTTCTTCAGGTTCATGTCAAATGAACCCAATGCACCTCACCGTTGTTCCCTACCAGACCACCCGATTTATCCCACTGAGAAAGTCTGTCAATGCACGCAGGGGAACGTTTTCCCGTCCCTTTATCATTGTTGGCTAGCTTTGGGCGGTTAATGAACACATTTTGACAGCGAAAAATAACAACACTGAGCAATCCCAGAACACCAAGCCATTTATTACTAGCATTACTGTCACATCGAGTTTTTTTTCTTCCTCTTTATCCCTTGCCATCCCTTTTCCCCGACCCTACGCCGGCGTTCTCAATAATAACATTAATCAGTTTCTGCCTTTAACTACGTGTATTTTCAAATTAGACCAACTGTGTCTTCCTTGCTTCTTCCAGCCAAATTTGTGATTCCTACTCGGAACATTAACAATCTGACGGATACTGAGGCCTGGTACCCATGCGAAACATCAAACCATGGCTCCAATGGTAACCTCTTTCCAGAGGGAGCCAACCGCGATTGTGAGTCTTACAGCAGTCCCACTTCAGGAGTGAAGCGGCTGAGTCTCAAGTCGGGACGTCTGAAGTGGGTGAGTCAGAAGGCGCGTCTTCGCATAAAAGCCTGCTACAGCAGTCTTACCGTCCTACCTGTCTGCGGCTACTCTCCGCTGCAAGAGTGTCTATCAATCCTGGAAACCCCGCTAACCGACAGCACGCGAACACAGCGCGACCTCAGCCCCCGGCGGCGTGGACAAGTCGGTGAGAACAGGACAAACTGCATTGATCTTTTGCGACATCTGGAGCCCTGGCTGAGTGCCAAGTCGAAAGCAACTCTTGCGCAGTCCTTGCTAGCAATGCACAAGCTTCGTCGACAGGTCCCCGTCTTCCTCTCATCGTTGGTGCTTGCTGAGGTCTGCCAGCAAGGTGACGCTGCTTCTTAGTGCACTCTTTGCCATGATATATTGAAAACTAGGACATTTTAAAGCGAAGTATGGGGACATGCGTAGCTTGTTTAGCCGAAAAACGTCTTCTCTCTCAGCTGGAATCGAAGCTCCAGCGTCTAGAGGCAGTTGCTCGTCTTCTCAGCTGTGACTGGTAGGCCAGCAAACAGAGCGGGTCAGCCGAAACTTCTTCATCCTGTTTCGCTAGGGAGTCGTATTTCGGCCCTAACGACTTTTCTGTTGGGACTGTGAGACAAAAATCATTAGCATGGAAGATAGAAAATTCTGATTGATAAGCCAGGCTCTTTATATCGTCAGTGGTTTATAATTAGGTAAACAATTTTATTAAGATTGATGTTGGAAAGTGGGGAATTGCAGCAGCCAGCAAACGTCCACAGCGTCTTTTGTGTTTGCGCACACCCACTCAGCAGTATGCACTGCGTAATGAATGTACCGTCCTCCGCCGTAATTTCTAAAATCTTTATTTTTTACAAAATAATATCAGTCAGTCAGTATCAGTCAGTATCAGTATATAAGCTAGATCCAAATTTATTCGGAAAGCACCCATTTTTCCCAGCAACTTGCCATTTTGCCGTCCGAAGAGTCCTTTGATACTCGCGGGGTGTATTCCTTCGTAATGTTTTTTCCGATTATTGAAGGATGAAAGCTTTACATTCTCTTCATTGAGTTACGCAATACAAAGGAGGTAGCAGGATGTCGACGACAAATTACGGGCCCATAAGCTTGACAAGCATTCTCAGTAGGGTTGTGGAGAGGATCATGGGGAGTGAAGTGATGTAATCCCTGGAAGTTAACGGCCTACCATCAAACTGCCAACGTGGGTTCCAGAAAGGAAGATCCTGCGCGATAAACTTGCTGCTATCTGGTATTGTGAAATTATTTACTTCAGAGCTGGACCCGAGCTCTCAACGACAGGCACGCGAGTTACATAGCTTTTATTGACTTCCAGAAGGCGTTCAGGCCTATGCCACACCATAAACTGTTACTAAAACTGAAAAATAGCGATCAGAGCCAAATTCTCTAAACGCATCCAAAAATTCCTTTTGGGTCAACAGCAGGTTGTGTGCATCGGTCAAGGGAAATCAGATCCTGCTGTGGTCGAGAGTGATATTCCCCAGGGTTCAGCACTGTGACCCACTTTGTTTCCGATATACATGAACGATTACGCAAGAGCCTTTGACTAAATAGCACCAATGGTTGCCGACGACATGAAGATATGGAGTGTAATTCGGGACGCTGCCGACAAAGACAGATTGCAGATGGACCTAAATCGGTTGAAAGAGTCGTCAAATCGTTGTCTCCTGCGTTTCAACATTGGTAGAGGTGGCATACTTTGCCCAGGCAACACAGCCAGATCCGCCAGCACGAGAGACCACAATCAGAGCGGTACAGCCTTACAAGAGGTCGAAGCCCTAAAGGGCCTCGGTGTGCTGACGACGAACTCCCTAAAACCATCCGCTCATTGTTCAAGAGTGGCAAAAACCACGATGTCCGTACTGTACGCCATTAAGCGTGCGTTTATGGATTTTGACGAAAACGCTATCTCAATGACGTCCGGAACTTGAAATACGGGCCAACTCCTTCCCTCATTGGGTGGTTGAAGATTATATCAAATTAAAAAATTCGGCTGTTCTGGCGGAAAGTGTTTAGATATTTAAACAAAAACTTGATAACATTGTATATGATGGTCATATATTTATTTGATAAGAACTGGTAAGATTTACCATATATCTTCGTACGCATGTGCACGTTTTTTGGTCTTTGTCTGTAAATAAGTCTTTTAATGGCTCTGCCTATCTCCCTTATATATATACTGAGTTATAACATTCGTGCGGCCGCACTTTGAATACGGCATACAAGCCTGGAGACCATGGGCGGTTCAAGATCAAAATGCCTTGAAAAAGTTCTGAGCAGAGCCACAAACATAGTTAGGGGTCAATCATCTTCCATTATACTACCCGCCTAATAAATCTTAGCCTCTTCCCCCTGAGTTATGAGCAACTTCTGCGTAACGAAGGGATTGGACTGCAGCCTGGCCTTTGAGAACTTTTTTGATTTCGCTGCCACGACCAACCTTCAAGGTCACACGTTAAAACTGCACACTCAGCAGGCAAGGCTGGATGTACGGAAGTTCTCCTTCTCTGTCCGAGTGGTCAAGCCATGGAATGCTCTCCCTGCAGGTGTTGTGATGTCACCATCAACACAACATTTTAGAAAGAACCTCGACATATTTATGTCACGAAATTACCAAGGGAGATGAGAGATCGAGCTCATCCCCCGAGACTTACTCCCATTTTGGGCTCGTTTGAATTGCTTCAGCCCAGATAATTCCTCTGCGCTCCACACCCAGTCTTGCGTTGTAACTAGGGTACTCGGAGGCTTACGCCGATTCCCCTCAATCAACTGAACTGAACGCCAGTAATTATACTGTGAGAAACCTCCGGTTTTCTGAAACCCCATGGAAAAAGTCAAGGATGCGAGCCAAATGAACGTGCAGTTCAAAGCGTTGGTCTCCGACCGGCTGCGAAGCGCTTCATTAAGTATTTTCGAGTTCATTTTTGGCATAATGCCTTGGTGGCCCATGTTGTTGGTGCTTTACAATGCCATGACTGCCTCTACCAGGGTGTGAATGTACGACAAACCACTGAAGCATTTTAAGGTGCACGTTTCTGGGACCGTTGCTCCCACAAAGGAGAACTGCCCGTCATGAGCTAGAGTTGTAATCTCAAGCTACACATTGACTTTCGCGGGATATTTTTACGACTTTATGAACCCATATGGTCTTTAATTGGACCAGATAAGAAAATCATATACACAGACTTTGATAAGGTTTCGGAAGTTGGCTTATTACCCAAAAAATCGTGGTTCATTAAGCCATCCTCTTGAACCAGAACAACAAATTCTGCATACATTGACGCTCAAACTAAATAAACTTCTTCAAGCGAATCATACAGTGGTGGAATATGATAACGCTCTTCTTTAGCGTCGAATGCAACCTTCCATGAAATACCGTCTCCAGCATGCCTATTTTCGAGTGCTCTCCCCAAACAATGCTTTTGGATCTTCTCCGAACATTTATTGTTTTGATTCGGAACTCTCACTTGCTGTCCTTGGACGTCCTCTTCTCACCTTTTCGTGCACTTTGTAATGGGTGAAGGCAGTTGCGCACGTGAAGTTGATCAAAAACGGTCGTTGTCCTTGCTTCACGGCAAATGAAACAGTTATTTGTAAAAAAAGTTTCATTCGATTTTAGGTCAAAACAGTATTGCCCAGGACTATCGACAAGTCGTCCCTAAATAATTAATTTAAGGTGTCTAGTAATTATATCAGCTAAGCCATGAAAACTATTTCCTTCAATAGGCCGCATTTATTTAGCAGCACCCTGTACTTGCAGTTCTTGATTTTGTACCGCTGGGTTAAATTTGATCAACCGAACATTTCCTGTGACCTTGGTTCTTTCGAAATGTTGTGGTCAAAAAGTCTGCATCAATTCGTGCTTCAAGTGTTCTGAGTCGTACGGATGATTCATTTATTTACTTTGACTGGGCACAAATACGAAGAGGTTCAACTGCCAAAGTAAACTTTTGGAAATTTTCTGTATCCTTGGCGCACCGAATAAGATAAGTCCTCAGAATGTCGCTTGGATTCAATCGTAACTGCGATTCTTTGGCCACACTCGGTTGGTGTTCATTTTGAAGCTAGTCCAAAGTTAGATGGATTGTTCGCTCTAACGACTTATCAAAATGGAGTGCCTTGTAGTCAATAATAAGCTAACCAGTCAGTCTGCTGGTTAATTTTTGCACATTGTTATGTCCCCTTCGTGATGCACGAGTACCTCTCGTAATTGGTTGTAAGTGTTTTTGCCTGAGTCCTCGTGCGCTTTACCGGCTGTGTGAATTTTCCCTTCATCTGCGTCTGGGTCCGCAAAACGCCTGAATAACTTCTGGATCGGTCTTTAGAGGGGTAAATCACACGGACAGGACTTGGGAAAAGGGGGGTGAAACGCCTGGACAGCGACCACGCTGCATTTCATTCCCAGTGAGCCCGACTCAGTTTTGGTACTGGCACATGATTAACGTGAGGGAGTTTGTAAAAAGAGAAATCGGAAATTTGTGCTTTGAACAGTCAGAAATGTTTCATTAACTCATACAACACATAGCCGAGGCTTCACATTCATTTTCGATGCGCCTACCTTATCAAAACAGCACTAGGAAATCGGTTACTGGACGTTGTCTTTCTAAACATATGAATCAAGTTGCAAAATTACCGTTGTCTGGTAAACGGACTGCGCTGAATCCCAATGAAACCGGATTTAAACTAGGCGGAAATTTCAGTTGAAATATAAGTTATTGGTTAGAACCTCAGAGGACAGCAGCCTTCCTTTCCTTTTTAAGAAGGTTGGAACTGCTACCGGAATCATGATTTTGGCCTACAGCTCAAGCTCCCCCTCACACGTTGCTTTAGTTGCATACTGGGTCTTTGGCCAACTGACAGGATAACTTGGACCCCGCAGTCGGCCAGTGTTGTGTGTGTGTGGAGTGGTGGGCTGGTGGTCTGAAAGTCAGGTTGCAATGGCTCCTTCTTAACGTGGCCTTTATGGCACTCCCATTACGTGGGATCCCGCCCGGGCGTGGGCGGCACGCCTAGGCGCGGCTTCGGCCGTGCCACCCTCTAGTCTCTGTTTATTGTTGGTCAAAAGCCTGGTTATTTGTTGTGTGGACCAGGGGGTGTGGAGTGGAAAGCCAAGGTGCGGGCTCGACCGTGCCCTCCGCCTGCGCCCTCCCCCATTTCCGGTCTTCTTGACTCTGTTTTGACACTGGGTCCAGGTGGGGGAGGAGAAGAGAGTGTGGTAAATGCAGCGCAAGTCTACTCTCACTATAAATTCCGCGCAATTCACCGTCCCTGTTCCCACCATACTGTGAAGCACATGATGGACATCGTCGAAATCGACAGACTGTCACGGGTTACTTGCGCGAGTGGTTAGTCGTCAGGTAGGGGAGTGTACCTAAATTATGCACTCTGTTAAACCTGCATCTCCTGCATCTACAATGCTGTGGAACACACAATGGATATCGTTGAAACCGACGGTCGAACTCTCAGGTCTTCGGCAGTTAGCTTAGGTCTTTAAGTGGCCATTATCGACGTTTTTCTCTCAGTCGGTTAGAATCGAAGTTCCAAGCAAAATGTTTTTTGTGCTTTTTGTGATTGAGACTGCATATGTAGGCTTTTTGTCCCTGCCTATGACTGACTTTCATTTCCTTAACAAGCCCCAGAAAATTCAGTGGATATTTCATTTATACTATGTCCTCTCTCCAAAATTGGCAACCGACAGATAACCCAAATATGGTACTTCGGAGTAACAGCCTTGCCACAAAAGCCATTGAACTGTATTTGCGCCAGACGGGTGGACCCTACCTGCACGCTGCTCTGGACGAAGTCGTGGGGACCATTTTGGCCTCTACAAAGACCTCGGCGACCTCAACTGACGTGGTAGCCCCGATGTGTGAGAAGCGTGGCTCTCTCGGTAGGCGGACATCCGCCAGCCCACTTCCGTCGTCTCACGCCTTTGTTTCAGGCAAGGAGAGCGATCTAGTTGACTTTGAGGTGGATCCAACTCGCGTTACCAACTCCTCTCAGTTGCTGCGAAATCAAAGCAACCTGCTGCGCGTTGTTTACCAGGTGTGGCAGAAAATCCAGGGGACTATCAGCGTCTTTCCTCTGTAAGTTAACTCTGGTCTGTTTAAATTGAACTGATGGATATTATAAACAAGTCACGACACCACAGAAGCGGCAGCAAAGCTCGGTGTACGTGGTTATCTTCGTGCTAACTCGTTTTTATGCTTTTCTGGTTTTACCTGGTGTAAATGACGCCGCTGGATAGAGACCAGACGAGACCGATTACCTCTTGTATCTTAGAATTTCGTACGAGTGTAAGAAACTTGGAAGATCTATCACCTACTTCTGTAACGAAGACACACGATTGTTTTGAGTGCACGTGTTCTCAAATGTCATCCCTGTGTGGAGGGGATAAAGCGTCCTGTTAAGGAATATCAAAAATAATCCCGAAGTATTTTTGAATACAAAAATTTCAGAATAAACGGTGGATGAAAATTGCAGCTCTGTCTCCATTTTGTACGAAATAAGAACACCTTTATCAAAGACTACTTCCAGCAGCAATTTCAGCAAGTCATCTGACGGATCCCTATTAGTTCTGATCGAATTTTTAACATGCCTCATGTGGGGTCTTTTCCACCAATTCACTTGAGTAATATTTAAACATGATGGCATGCCGTCCATTCTACTGATAATTATCCAGCTGCAAGTTTTTTCGAGGGGTGATTGGCTTACTTTAGCTAGGCTTTGGTCTCTTTAAACTGCGGACGGAGCCACAAGCGAATACTCACTTAGGAAATATGCAGATGTAAGGCCTGGATGAAATTTAAAGGGCAAAATAACTAGAAATGCAACATTGGGACAGGCGTCATGTCTGATTTTTCGCACGTTATAATGCCTGGCAGCCTGTTCATATTGCTGGAGTCGTAGGCTCTAAAGCGCACATATGCCTTTTTTCCCCAGCACATGCCAGACTGGGAATCATGCTATCACATGCGCACATTCACCTCCAGGCGCCCACAAACTCAACTAACATCCAACAAAGTAGCTGAGTTAACACTGGCCCTAACATGAGACGCTCTTAGGCGTAAGCGTCCACTCACCATCGTGAAGAGATGCACGCGCCTACCCAGGGCTGGCTATGCGTGGGGAGTTCAGATCATCATCAGTCCTTTGCCAAAGGTAATCGTTGGTAATGATTGAATATGTAGGTTCATGTTGCGATTACTGCAATATGACTACTTATTTGATTTTGGCACGTGTGTTATATTGGGGCTAGGTTTCTAGCTAAGTCGGAGAACATCATTAAATTTAGGTTGAGGGTGGGTTAACTGCTGGGTTCAGTGAAGGGGTTAGGATTTGGGTTAAGGTTAAGGTTGGTGTTAGGTCCAAGTCTGTCCGAAGTATTCCACCTTGTGGAACCTAGCCTTCTTTAAGCAGCAATTTTTGATTATGTTCCGCCAGTCTCCACGCATCTACTTCGCATTTTTCAAATTACGCTGTCTGTTCGGGCACCTCGTTGGAGTAATAAACCCAACATTTGACAGAAACGCAAGTTCACTCAACGCCTTCCGCAGATTCCATCAGTTTTCGCCTCTGTCCTTTCTCTACTGACAAAACAAATATAAATATCCTTCCGGTATTTCAAGAGTCCTTGTGCTCTAATTTCTCAGTGGGTTAACATATCCAATTCCTCTCTAAACCCCCTCTACTGGCGTCTTACTCCTTCTAAAAGGACTCATACTCATAAATTATAGTGATAAGAGTATGACCACTTTATTATAATATTTTCAAGCGCCTAGAGTGCAGACTGCTGTCGTCATGTTGATTCCATGGGTTTAAACGGTGTCGGTCGAGGACCTTGTCCTGGCGGTTAATTGGCGAATAGACCAGATGTTTTCATTGGGGAGGAGGAACTATCAATTGATCTCATTAATCTATCGTGACCAGACACGTAATTTAGACCCCAGAACTACGGGTGATCGCCATTGTGTATGACAAATTATTTTCCATTCCAATCGGACAACGCGCGCTCATTTTTCTAGAAAAACACGCCAGCACCACAACGTTATTCGTGTATTCAAGGTTCATATGCGCAGTCAACAACTTACTGTTACGGCTGAATGGTCTGCCAGGGCGTGCTGAAGAGTCTAGTCTGTCACACAAATAGACAGAGCTGGTGGGAGGACATAGATCTGATAGACGCTCACTCTCTTCCTTTTTAACGCGGAGTTTACATCTTATTCATTGATAGTAGTTTTAATCAATCAATGTAACCCCAGTGATACGCTGTCGCACATGATCAGCCACAGAGAATACCAGTGGAGTCAAACACACTAGAAGACATAAATAAACATGCGATGATGAACTGCTAATAATGGTGGCAGCATTCCAGGGACCGGCACAACATGAAAAAATGATCGACACAGTCGCGCTCTTGCAAGAATCTTCGCCGATTCCTCGTTGGTCCTGCTACAAACTGGTAACTGCGGCGATTGTAGGCCCCATCAAGTAGGCCTCTGCTGAGGTGGTCGTTACACGATGGTCGACCACCTCCCTTGAAGTTTCATTTAAGGACAGCGTTACTACAGTTTCTGTCTAAAGTCGTTTTCAGTTGCATGGTGGTATTGCTGGTGTTCTTCGTTTTGCAACAGCTACCTCCTGCATAGATGGTAGTCCGCCGTCGCAATTATTCTCGGGCGGCAAGGCATACTTAACCTTTACGGTCGTTGAGGCAGCAGAGTTTGCTGAATTCAGATGTGGAAGCGAATTCTCTTTCCATCCAACGGCCTTGCATGCTATGGATGCCAACGCCGCGCCCTTATTATCTCCTAATGCACAGGCAGACCAATTATAAATCTGACTCATTCTCAAACTAACGCACAACTTTCTGTTATCACAGTTCCAGGAGACCCTTCCGACATATCCTGTGACTTTAATCCAGTAGGCATTGGGGTCATAATATACAGAGCGCGTTACCTCAAGGCACAATGTCCTGGATCTTGGAATGTCAGGAAGACGAGATGCCTTTGCATTATTAGCCGTTCAGATTGCAGCATGGACGCAGTATGCGACCCCATTCAGGGAACAAAAACCAGGCCTCTGTGTAATACGGGTTTTATGGGTGGGGCTGAACGACAGTGCAAGCTAAAGTTGAGCATTTTTTCGCAGTTCTTCCGGCTTGTTTTCACGAAAGAAGTAGATTACATTTCATCTAGCTACAAGAGCGCAGAATCGTCAATTAAAAGGGGGCCAGAAGGCAATATGTCACGAGGACCTGGTTCTTGTTTACTGAGTGGGGTCACATACTCCGCCCCTGCCCAGGTTGCTTCACAACGGTCTAATCTTTGTGGTGAAACTTACTGATGTGTGGTGGTTCTTCAAAGCTAGGTTTCCGTAATCAGAAGTTGGACAGCCCTTACTGCGGCACAAGAACACACAAGTGGCTCAGTTGGCAGTCACAGCGGCTGACCTCACCACCCGTTGAATCCCGGTGTGAAATACGTGCATGTACATAAATTTTGCCCCCTGCGGCTAGTTAGCAATGGGAACAACTTCGACTGACGTAGAACTGTCGCCAAGCCGGTGCCGAGCCACGCTCCTTTAGTTGACAAGGAGCGTTAGACGGACCGAAGATGGCATGAGTATACGGCCGCGCTGGTGGCCACAACAGCAGACTGCCCTAAGGTGGCACCTCTAGCTAGGATGCGGGAATATGCCCCCTCCCCTGGAACTTGGCGCAAAGCCACTTGTAGTAAGGGGGAGGGGATCATATTTCCCTTGTTAAATCTAGTGCCATTTACAGTAATAACGAAATATCTACTCATTCACTCTGTTAGTTATTTGCATTCGATTTATCCATGCTTGTGGATGAGATCTTATTTCTCTTAATCACAGTGAACTACGACGCACCTTCTATGCCATTCGCCGCTCAATGGTTCCACCCGCCTCTGCCGGAGGAAGAGGTCAATCAGGAAGGCATTTTTCAAGGTTTTCTTCAACTGACAGTGAACGACAGATCCAGAGTGCGAAGGAGCTCTTTGAGCACGTAATATCTGCTTGTGTTTTCCTGCGCTTCGTCTGTCCTGCCATCTTATCACCTTCCCTCTTTGGCCTCACCGATCGCTTTCCCGAAGATACGAGGGTGGTCAGAGCCTTCACCCTGGTGAGTCCCGCGCATGTTAAACGCCTTCTTAAGCCCACAAACCCTACATTCTTATTAAGGAATCCAGCTAGTAAAACGTTTGCGCGACGAACCGCAGATTGCATGTACTCCATCTGCGAATGCATAAATTGCTGGCAAAGTTGAATTTTCAGGAAAGTCAAGTTGTACGTGATTAAGTCAATCATCCCATAGGCTCCCTTAAGTGATGTCTCCATTGGCCAAGTATTTGCGATAGAGCATAATCCACCCTGCGCGCACAAGGTGTGTGTGTAGCACGCCTATATGGCTGTTTTGCTTTGTCAACCACCGCGTCCGATCCAGTCTCCGGTCTCCCTAACTCTATCTTGACACCAGGCCTGGGTGGGTGATGGAAGAGAGAGTGCTGTAGACACAGCGCGAGTCTACTATCACCATCACTACGACCGTAAAATAATTCATGAGCAAGTCATAGTCCCTGCACCCACTCTGCTGTGGGGTACACGCTAGACATAATGGTGATAGTCGAACTGTCATTTGCAATGCATGCTTAGTTTAGATTCGTTTAACCTACAAGGGAGGATTTGCCCACTCTAAACCCACACTCTTCATTACGAAGTCTACCAAAATTATGAAAGTAGTTTTGGCATTTTCGACAAGTCGTCTTATAGGATCGACCAGCGCTGATTGTTGGTTCAATGTTTTTTTATTCTACTACATTTTCAGCATTTGTATGATCTCCATCTGTCCGCCAGTTATCTACTTTAGTTGACGAATTGCTGACTTCACGATGCAACCGTCAAGTACTTTGCAATTTTACTCTGATCAGGCACCAAGTTAACTTTTCAGACTTTTTATTCTATTGGCTCTTCAGCCAGGGAAATGTAGGCCTACAATAAAACGCTCCCTCGAACTGCTGAAGGTACTCACAGGCCTTTTCAGTTTCAAGTGTATTCTTCCCTTTATAGTCCTCTCAACCTAATCAAGCGCTGAATTTACCTATGCACTTGGAAAAACAGGTCATAACACTGGTGTCGTTTGTAGACTTACCAATCCGTGGAACTTATCTTGATCTGCGGCAAAAAGCCTAAATTAGCAGGAAATTTCTAGCCAAAGTTATTTACTAAATGTTGCATCTGTTGGAGACTTAGACGTTATGGACACCAAACAGGGCTAGATATTAGTGTTCTAGTTTAGTTCGCATCCGAGGGACTCCTCTGGAATCTTTTATCTGCAAACCATTTAGTGAACTTAGAACCTGAATAAGATGGAGACGGACCGCTGACTCCTAATTAGCATCAGGTTCTCTGCCTACTGGCCCATCGTTAACATACCTGCCGCCTGTACACATTGTTAGACAATCTTATCTTTGCGACTCTCATTGCTGGTCCATTTTTAGTATGAGTGAGCCTTCTGCCTTAATGTAAGGCATGTTTGTCAACTTTTAAGTTCTTGTGTTGGCCTTATATCCTGTGGTGGTAGGAGATTAGATTCCCTGGGATAATGGCTACCACTCGTCACATCTAGAAAATAATACTTCAGCTAGTCTTAGAAAGACAAATCATTTTTAAAGTTATTTTTCGGCGGACTGACTTCAAAGCAGCCTCCGTAATTTTTGATGTCGCCTCCTGTCCGCACCTGTGTCCTACGGGATGTCTTGAGGATAGGGTTGGCTCAGCAATGCTCCAATTTCCTTCGTCGCCCACTCCTTTCCCGAGAAGTTAGTATCTAACTGGAACACTCCATCTGCCCCTCTACCGCGTTTAACTTCAGTTAAAGACAGCTGCGCCTTCCGTGTCCTTTTTGCGAGCGGCTTCCGACGGAATTGTCTCCTGACCGTGAGCCTGGGGAATCAGCTCGAGTCTTGAAAGTTTTCTATCAATGTGCCTATTAACTCCCCCAGTCTGGCTACCTGTGTGATTGGATGACCATCCGCTCCCTTCCCCCTCCCCTTTGCGCAGTCAAATAAACCGGAAAAAGCGATTGGCTGAGAGAGAAAGACATTTTTCGCTTATATGCGTGAAATACGAAATAGAAGACGGTTGAGCGCATGTCACCCGTGAGGTTTGGACAATTTTTCGTCTTTTCGCCGACTACCGTTTCGTATTTTTATGCGCCTTTCACACATTCACCAGGGTCCCTTTTAGTAATTTAGGTCATAAGCACTACCCATATGCGCGTATCCAGCACGAGAGGGCACCTTTGCCAGAATCGTTGCAGAAAGCCCATTTTCAGACTTATACACAGATTCTTTTGACTTTTTAGAATATTTTAGCGAGTTTCTGTCGCAGGCGAAGTCATATGAAGATATGGTCGATTGAACCCCATGTGTAGAAACACTGTTGTCATTTTCGGATGGTCGTTTGTCCGCCGTGACTGTACTATGCCTTTAAGCAATACTAATTTACGAATATTGTCGATTTGCTGAGCACCGTCTGGAAATATTGAGCAAAGGGATCTGAAGGTTATGAAAGGTCACATTCCTCACAATTTGTTTACTTTAGTCTTCTAAGCAGCGACTTTTTTTAAATGAATAGTTGCTTTTGGCAGATTTGAAATAAATTGTCTCACCTAATTTTGAAAAACGGTGGCCTTTGTGGGATTCGAACTCTCAATAGCAATGTTAGGGGTTGGGTTCAACCAACGCTCTGACCACTTTAACTACGAGGTCTCCGCCAAGACCCGCGAGTTTAATCACATTTGGGAAGGATCCCTGCCAAACCTACTGAAATATACGCAATTCACCAATTCTAATTCAGTAAACGTTTGCCTAAACAGGATTTTCTAAGCAATCGATGCAGAACCCACCAAATGATTGATAAGGAAATCCTGCCTGGCTGTCAGCTTGCTGTATCAGATTTGATGAATTTTATACATCGCAGTAGGTTGGGCGAGTGACTCGACCCAGACGTGATTAAACCCACGGCTCACGGTCGACGCCTCGTAGTACGGGTGGTAACAGCGTTGAAAGTACTCAAACAGTATTCTTGCTGTTGTGGATTCGAATTCCTTATGGGCCGTCAACTTTTTCAAAACTGAGTCAGATGAACTTTTGGTATCGTTATTGAAGACCGTCTTCGCATTGCCGGTCTTCTCTCTCTCTCTCTCTCTCTCTCTCTCTCTCTCTCTCTCTTTCTCTCATATCGAGGTTCGCATCTATGACCCTATTGTGGGTTCATCGATGGTATCTCTGCTAACACTACTTAACCAAGCAATCGATAGTTGAACGGCACTATTTTGCGACCAATCCAGACGGGTTGACACCAGTGCCCTATAAATCCTCAAGACCAGAGCAGATGGTGCCGAACTCATAGTTAAACGCAAGCAACTATAACTTTCGCTCTTCTTCAAAGCAGTTGGTTCGGGTTCACACGTTATGTATTTATACAGCCGCGTCTGGTTATGGCGAACTGGGAACTACATAAAAGGGGGAAATGGCCATCCAAATACCCATTCAGTGGGGAGTGTATCGTTCCACCTCGTCGAGCAGTCTGACTCGGGTACGACGGCAATGTTCCGACGAAGTTGAAAAATGCTCAAATACCGGGGAGGTGAGTTGTATGCTCAGAGATTCTGGAGCTTTTAGGTTTACGCTCATATTTATGCTGGTGACAACCGCTCAGCCAACTTGAATGTCTGAATCTTGGCAATCAGGTGTACACCTGCCTTAATGACTGGCAGACCCTGACCATGTGACTGGTCTGTATACTTGGGTCTGACTGTGAAGCGATTTTAGGCGAGAATGAAGTCGACTCAGCTGTTTATATACTCGTGATCGGGTTTCCCCCCGCATTTTGCATCCTGCATTCAGTTTGTCAAAGTATCACTGTGACAGCAACGCAGAAGGTTTGATCTCGTCCTTGAACTAATCTCCCCTTTCGCGTTGTCTGGTCTGGAGTCATTCTCACATTTAATGTGTACGCCAGCAAGGGTGTCCGGAGCACATACTGTCGAGGCTTGACTTAATTAGCCCGTTGTAGACTTGACTTGACTTGACTATGTCTTTTAGCCTGTGTTTTGATGAAAAATCCCCAGCACTAAATTGTTTACAATACATTCCAGGGACTCGTAAATTCTCAGGACGTAGACAGTGAATGCGATATCCAAAATTCGGCCCCAACACCGTCACTTTTTACTTGTTTTCAGGAAGTCACTGATATCTGGAATTGGGGTCTCGTGTGCAACCGTTCCTTCCGAATTGTTCGTGCGGCTAAAGTTGCTCGTTCATCCTTCTGCTCCTGCGTATTTTGTGCGTGGATGTTAAGTAACTTCCTTTTTGGAGGTTTTGAAGTTACCCAAAGCTAAAGAGCGATGTTGTGTCCATGACATTCCCGCTAACTGTGGTTAGTAAGTTACCGGTTGATTATTCGTCGACATGAACGCTCCTCCTCCTCCTCCTCCTCCTCCTCCTCCTCTTCCTCCTCCTCCCCCTCCTCCTCCTCCTCCTCCTCCTCCTCCTCCTTCTCCTTATACTTCTCGCTCTTTTCTGCCTACTTATCCTCCATTCCGAGGTTGGCGGGACATGGATAAGTGTACTGTTTCTGAACTATCTCCCTGAGAAGTGCTTTTTTATTCATCGAAACATTCATACTGCACCAGGACGATTTTTTATTTTTATGTATTAAAGAACAAAATGTTTGGTCTCCTAAAAGGCCCTCTAATGCCATCATTCCTGTTTTACAGATGGCCTTGCTCCATACTTTACTGAGATTAAGATCACAGAATTCATCTTGTTGAATACAAGTATCATCACCGTATCAGCGGCAGAATACTAGTTCGTATTTTATAAAGGCCCGATCCACCAGCTCCTGTAGTACAAGTTCTGCTGTCATTCTTGAAGTTAAGGAATTCACGGGCCTCCTTATAATTCGCTCATTGAACTCGTCCGAGAAGTGTGGATTTTTTTATTGATAAAAGCTTGAAATTTTCATAAGGTCTTCTGGCTTTGTTGACTTGCACTACTACGCTTGCAGTAGAAACTTACTACCTAGAAAGCGCCCTTGAGGTAGGCAGCATATTAGTTAACTTGGGGATGCCAAATATATTAAAGTAGACGTAAACGTATCCATAATTGATTCAGTTCGATCATCGGGTATCCTGATGGTTCACGGAAATTTTCTACACCTGGGGGGCAAGAAGTAAGTATACTCAGCCTCCCCACTAAAGCTACCTTCTGAACAGAAATCTCGGCCAAAACATGCGCACAACGGATTTATTTCATTGATGGGATCGAAATTCGGAGCAACAAGCTTGAACTTCTTCTGCTGGACGGCATAGAAATAACACTACTCAAGCCAATGCTCGCTTCCCCCCCCTCCCCCTTGCTCCCTAAATAGATCTCTTAATACCGACTTTCTTTCTTTTACCTCCTAATTTAGGTTGCGAAGGCCATCCAAAACCTCGCCAATTTTACCCTGTTCGGAGACTCCAAAGAGATTCACATGTCTTTTCTCAACCGTTTCGTTGCTGAACAGTTGCCTGCCATGAGGACTTTCCTCTGGCGTATCTCTGACTTTTCCTGTAACTCTGAAGTTGAGCAGTCTTCATCCGTACCATCTTACTCTGCCCGACTGGTGGACCTCTTCGTGGTCTCGGAAAG